TGCCGGGGTGAAGGCTTGGGAGGCCCCGGCAGCTTCGGGGCAGGGGGCTCAGGGGCATTCCGAGCAGTGCTTTCAATGTTATTGAAATCAGTCTGTTTTATGACTACCACTTCATTAAATTCACCCAACAAATAGGCTATTTATTTTTATCTTACGCTAAGATGGCGGGTGCCACTATCTTCACTCTCCTAGAAGATTTATTGGACATATTTTATTGTTACTAAAACAGATGCTCTTAAGTGTATAATTTGCATTGGTCTATATATACACGTTATGTATGAGTAAAAGTGATAGATAAACAGAAAAAAACAAATAGAGGCAGACAGACACACACAAAGAAAAAATAACTTGTTCAGATTTAAGTGTATATAAGGTTTTGTGTTTGAGAAAAGAAATACTTTAAGAAACAGGTATTATTGGCCTGGAGAGATAGATCAGTGGTTAGTAAGAGCATTGGCTGCTCCTGCAAAGGACCCAGGTTCAGTTCCCAACATCCACATTGTGGCTCAAAACCATCTGGAAGCCTAGTTCCAGGTGATGCATTACCCCCTACTGGCCTCCACAGGCTCCTTCATGCACATGGTGCACATAAACTCACAGTTATGTGCACATAATATACTCTCTCTCTTCAACAAAAATATATAAATACAATTTGAGTTTTAATTTAAAATTATTACATTTCTTAGGGTACTCCCTGTTTCCCAGTCTCTCTGGTAGTGTGGATAGTAGGCTGGCTATCCCCTGCTCCATGTTTAAAATCCATATCTGAGTGAGCACATACCATGCTTGTCTTTTTGTGCCTGGATTACCTCACTCAGGATGGTTTCTTTGAGTGTCATCCATTTGCCTGCAAATTTCAAGACTCCATTGTTTTTTTCCACTGAGTACTATTTTATTGTATAAATGTACCACATTTTCTCTCTCCATTCTTCAGTTGAGGGCCATCTATGTTGCTTCCAGGTTCTGGCTATTACAAATAATGATGCTATACCCTAAGAGAGACATGCATATTACCCTGGAGAATGGGAAGGGGACGGGATCTCCCGAGTGGACTGGGAGCATGAGGGAAGGAGAAAGGGAACTGGGAGAAAGAGAGGGGGAGAAGAGGAGGGGAGAGGAGAAAATGGAGGAGCAGGAAGGTTGAGTCAGGGAAAGAATAGAGGAGAACAGGATGAGAGATACCATAACAGAGGGAGCCAGTATAGATTTGAGGAGGGATCTGGCACTAGGGAGATTTCCAGAGATCTATAAGGATGACACCAATCTAAGCAATAGTGGACAGGCTACCTTAAATGCCCTCCCCCAATAATGAGACTGATGACTACATTATATGCCATCCTACAGCCTTCATCTAGGGTCTGATGTAAACAGAGGCAGACAGCCACAGCTAAACACTGAACTGAACTCCTTCAACCCACTTGCAGAGAGGGAGGAGCGAAGAGCAAAGGGGTCAAGACTGAGCTGGTGAAAGCCACAGAAACAGCTGACCTGAACAAAGGGAGCCCATGGACCCCAGACTGATGGCTGGGAGGCCAGCATAGGACTGATCCAGACCCCCTGTAGTGGATGTCAGTGAGGAGGCCTCAGCACTCTATGGGGCCTCTGACAGTGGATCAGTATTTATCCCTGGCGTACGAATGGACTTTGGGAGCCCATTCCACATGGAGGGATGCTCTCTCAGTCTGGACACATAAGGGAGAGCTTAGGCCCTGTTCCAAATGATATGACAGACTTTAGGGATCCCCTGTGGAGGGCATCACCCTCCCTGGGGAGCAGAGGAAGAATGGGGTGAGGGGTTGGTAAGGCGTGGGGGAGGAGGGGAGGGAGAGGGAGCTGGGATTGACATGTGAAGCAGGCTTGTTTCTAATTTAACTAAAAAATATTAAATTTCATGTATATGTTATTTCTGTTCTTCATCAAAGTGCTAGAAACCACTCCAATTTTATTCTAATTTCTAATTTAATTTGACATGTTATTTACTTTTAAATAATATTATATTATTATTTTGAACAGTTCTCAATATGTACCCCACAATTGTCCTGCCCCATCTTCCTGGATACCAGAATTATAAAAGTATACAAGCAAACCTATTTCTCTCCTTTGGATAAAGTTAAGTGCTGTAATTTTTAGTCAGTGAAAGTTGCAGTTTAGGGCCACATTACCTGCAAGTGATGTGAAATCTTATAAAAGTATGCCCTCAAAATATTTGGGGTAGGGCAGCTCCATAAGACCACCTATGGACTCAAGAAACTCAACCTCTTTTCAAAATACCCAACAGGTGTGCAGATTATCCTTTGTTTTCCTTCTGCATGGCCCAATTTTTACACAGAGATTTTAATAGAACGAGCTGTTCTCATATCTTTTTAGCTCCAGAATCCTGGATCTGCATCAGTAAGCTTTTAATAACCCCAGGTAATGGGATGTAACTTCAAGTGAAGGCAATTTATGGGATCTGAGTTTCTTTCCAGTTTTTTTCTTTAAAAATAAAAATTGCATTATTGTGACGACACAAATAAAAACACCAGACAGCTAGATTAAGGTGCCACTCAAACACTGAATTTCTCACCCCCACAGCCCCTCACCTTTTTGGGGGGTGTGTTGAGACAGGGTTTCTCTGTGTCACCCTGACCATCCTGGAACTCACTCTATAGGTCATGCTGGCTTGGAACTCAGGATTCATCTGCTTCTCGAGTGTTGGGATTAAAGACATTTTCCACCGCCACCCAGCTTGAATGTCTTAATATTAGCAACATTGGACTTTATAGTCAAATAGAGGTTGAGAAGGGGTTAAAATAAATCTACCTCTTTCATTAACCTACCCTCTATTTTACCAAAATCCCTAAGTTCTTTTACAAACTAAGTTGGCCTGCTGGTGTTTTGATCAAGCATCTTTCAGATGCTTTTCAAGTACTGCCAAAGGAAGCAAGTAGTCCAAAGAAAGGATAGATGGAAGAAAGAAAGAAAAGATAGAAAGGGAGGAAGAAGAAATAAAGATCATAGAGAAAAAACTTGGCAATATGGAAAGAAAGATGTACTATATTAGTCTAGTATCTATATGTAAGCTAGTAAGTGACTGATGTGTGATTTCCAGTGCTCAAGGGAAAATCCAACATGGGCAGAGATGATTAATGGGACGCATCGTTGTATTTTTGCAAAGTGGGTTGGGACACTGGGCACACCTTTTCCATACATGATTCTATCCAAGTAATCACTATGTGAAGAGAGGAAGTCAAAAACTGGAACACCTAGATCAAGAATCATACTGAAATATTTGAAGATGCTTTCTTATTTATGAGGAGTTCCAGAAAGGAAAGTGGGGGATGCCATACCTTCAATTCGCAGGTCCAACAACAATGAATCAGGGCTCTGAGGAAGCATTGGCTGATTATCAGTTATCGTACTGCAGTAGACTCAGCATTCTCATGAGCCGAGGAACACACTATGTTCCTTGTCAGTGAGCAAATGCAGTGTGATGTTGGGTCCATTGATGAAGCTTAAGGATTCATTTTCTGCATCTGAATCACAGTCTCTGTCCTTATTTTGCTGGAGGAGAAATCACGATGGTTTTGTCGATTTTGTTTGTGCTGTAAAGGTCACCATGATTCCGATAAGGTATTCTTTGTAATGAGGTGAGTGATTAGAAAATACCAATGATGAGGACTCTAACCTATGACTGTCATCTCCTTAGGAAGCTCATCGAGACTCACCTGAAGACCATCCCCAGTCTGGCATTTTCAAATCTACCCAATATTTCCAGGATGTAAGTAATTATTTTAATATACAGAGAACTTTGCTGTTGTGACATACCTTCTAAGTGTTCTCTGTCAAAAAAGCAATATCTATTGTGCTTGCATAAGTCAATGGCATCTGCATTTTTAATGTATTTGAAATTTTAGTTATATTGTATTTACCTGCTTAGTTACAGCTCTACTTTTTTTATCCCTATAGGCCCTTTTAAACCTAATGCAAATTCCAATTCAATTCGTCACATCAAAGCCACCATTTTGTATATTTTAGTATATCCTAGGATGTGACAAAACCTTACCTGAGAATCCCCAGACATTTATATGTGTCTCTCTTACCCATCCATCCTAGATTTTTGTTGAGTCACTTCTACACTAGTACAATGCCAACATTTACATTTTGTCCCAAATGCAGTCAATCATTTCAGATTTCTCTCACTTATAAATGAATTAAAAACAATTCTAAGCCTTAAAAACAGAGAAGTGGTCTGCAGACAGATAAGAAAACGAACTTGCACAGTAGACTGACAATCACTGTGTGTGTGGATTTACAACCATTAGTGATTAACTCTGAGTCACCAAGAATCCTCAGTGTCCATTAAGGAAAGAAATAAAAGTGTTTTCTTCCTTAAAATCCTTTAACCAAGAACAAGTCCACATTTGAATTTTCTCCTTCACACCCCATGTCTGCCATCCTCTGTTGTCTGTTGCTTGAATCTGAATCTGTGCCTGCTTGAAGGCTTCCTTAATCTGTCTGTCCCTGTACCTTTGTCTTCCATCTGTGTGTTCTCTTGTGTGGCTGTATGTATCTGTCTGTGTGTCCCTGTGTCTCTCTCCTCCCACAAATCAGTCTGCTCTGTATTTATTGGACAGAATAGAAATCATCAACAGGGAAAGAATGGAGCACTTTACAGAAATCTTCAATGGAGTTTTACAAGGGTCAAATCACTAACTCCAACTGATCTTAGCTGATCCAAACAACAGTTTTAAAAAAAAAGACATTGTTTATCTGCCAATATCCATAAATGGATGCTTTGAACTTTTAGAGTAGGTTTTAGGAAGTTGCTTTCAACTTTGGTAATTTGCTACTCTCAGCTATTATGCACACGTGCAATTCTGGTCGGGGCATAGAAGAGTCCATAATTTAAGATTACTACTATGGATTATCTTAGGTTGCAAAAGTTGACTGCATGGGAAACCCAAAGCAAGGTAAGGTTGGTTGTTGCATTGTTCTCTTAAAAGCAGGTGGAACAGGCTGAAGAGCATGGTATACTAGTAGTCTTAAATCTCAAGTGACCTCTCAAGTTGTATTATCACCTTTGGCTGTGATATCCAGCAAAAGTTCCAGTGTCTTAGAATGTAAATGATATTTTTGGAATTTTGCATTGCCATAGTCTGCCCATGAAATGAGTGTGGTATTTGTCCCAGTTAATGGCAGTTCGGGTTAACTCAAGCACACCCAATAACACCAGAAGCGACCTGTACAGTTCATAGCCCAATTTATTCCAGGTACGGCATGTGTTGAACATCTGTTGCATCATTTCAGTGATTTTCAGCCAGAATCAACTCTGACATTTGGCTTTGCCAAAATTGCAGAGAAGAATGCTACTGGCCTCTAGGTGGTGGAGGTAAAGGATACGGGAGCCATCTTCCCCCACTCTGTATGGTCACAGTAAAGAGTTATCGAGGACAAAATGTCAATGGCCCTGAGGCCAAGAGGCCATTCTAATTGAACATGTGTGTAGGTGCTAATCAGACTTTCCTTTTTGTATTCTTACTACACAAACAAAATTAAAACGAGTCTGTACGAATAGATGCTAAGAGCATTCGCTGTTCTTACGGAGTACCCAGTTTCGGTTCCCAGCACCCACATGACACTTTGCAACTGTCTATACAGTTCTATGATATTAGATGACCTCTGTAGGCAAAGACACATACATACATACATACATACATACATACATACATACATACATACGAGCAAATATCATATATATAAGATAAAATAAATATTTTAAAATCTTATTTAAAACCAAAACAATATGATTAACCCTCTTCTTTTCTTACCCTGACTACTGTGCCTCGGTTTCCTTTCCTGGAGTCCCATTTTGTTTTATTTTTGGCAAGGCTAGTTCTTCTGCATGTATATATTCTATTTCCTCTATTCTCTACTCTCTTTGAGTCAATTCTTCCTTTTTGTTCTTTTGGCTTTGCTCTCATCTACTACAGCTATTTAAACAAATATTGAAGGTCTTGACTCCCTCCTATAATTCAAGCCTGCATCTAGAATGTCACTCCAAATATTGCCACTCTGATGTCCCATGAGTACTTCAAATTCAGTCTATCCAAACTAAGCAGGCTGCCCTTACTCCATTTCTTCTCTTTCTAATAGCACGGTCATTCAGTATCTTGTGAGCTGCAAGCCTCAAACTCCCGTTTAGTTTCTTCATTTGCCCTCATGCTCTGTAAACAACTGTGTATTTGGTGTCTCCACTTTAGTACCCCAATAGCTTGTCTATTCTTTTGTTCACACCTTCACCACATGTTTATGGAGCCCTACACTTGCCTCAAACTTTCCAGAATGCCCTGAAAACAACACTAGGCAATAGTCAGAGAGTCTTCAGTTTCATTCCCACTAAAGTGATAAGTACCATGATGGGGCCAGTTTCTGAAAACTGTAGGAACTCACTCAAGAGACAGGTTCCCTGAGTAGGAAGAAGGAGGGGCTAAGGAAAGCTGGAAGAATATCATCCCACCTATGCTTCATACTAGCTAGCCAAATGTAGAAGGGAATGTCATCATGAAACAGGGGATGTCTGAGCTTTCTGAGGAATTAAAATAAGTTCACTGGGACTGGAATTTCGGCTGCAGGGGAGACCAACAAATAAACTGAAAAATAAAAACACAGTTTAAAAAAAACACACAAGAAATGATCAAGAACAGGGTCTTTTGCTCCTGTTGTGTGAAAAAGGAGTATCAAGTCTTTTGTAGAACAAAGCCATTGGATGATGTTTAGCAGGCAAGCAAAATGCTCAAATGTTTGCTTCCAGGAGCTCTTGGCCATGCTGTGGACATGAGTTAGAACTCGAGTCATGTTGGAAACAGGAAGCTATTGAAGAGGCTGCTGAAGTATCCTCATGGGAGGGAAGGCAAACTAAGTACCAGTTATTAATTGGGAGTAAACAAATAAAGGTACAGAGATTTGAGAAATAAATGAGGGAGAGTTCAAAACACAAAAGTGATTGATTTAGAGGTGAGGGAAATAAAGAAGGATGGTATCTGATTTCTGAGTGGGAGATCTTAATGAGAACATTCATTGTGTTAGAAAATTGCAATTGTGCTTATTTGCAGTGGAGGATAAATGGTAAGTTAGCATTTCTGTTTGGGGCATATATTATTCTAGGTGTGTGTGTGTGTATTCTGCAGACATAGACTTTTTTTATTCAGTCAACAAGTATTTATTCCACCTTAACCATATGCACTTACTGGCAAAATTATATTCAACTGGGAGGAAACAGGTAATGAGTCAAAACATAATAAAGTAAGTTATATACTTATTCAGACAGAAAGAGTGCTTACAGGCAGGGGGAAATTCAAAGTATAATAAGGAATATTGGATGTTCTGGACACATCCAATGTTCTAGAATGAACTTCCTCTCTCCAAGCTCAGGGCAGTCATGTGAGTAGAGACTGAGATTTTTTGGAAGTCATAAAAACAGTCTCAAACTGGTCATTGGTGGCGCTGGCCTTTCATCACAGCACTCAGGAGGCCGAGGCAGGTGGATCTCTGTGAGTTAGAGGCCAGCCTGGAACAGAGCATGTTCCAGGACAGCCAGGGCTACACCGAAAAAATCCTGTCTCCAAAAACAGTCTCATGTACAAGAGGAACACTGCAGAATGAGAGATGCTAAAGAGTGAAACAAGAGCAGCCATAAATAAGTGTGTGTGGTCCCTGAGGAGGCTGAAGAGGATGGCAGCCAAACAGAATTAGGTGATGTAAGAAAAGCCACCTGTTCCACTGTCGAAAGAAAGTCACTAGTGGGCAATTCAAGAAATTTCTTTCTCTGGTTTCAACCTTTTCTATAAGAAGTTTGTCTACTAAGATTGGTGATAAACAGAATTCAAACTATTCTATACTAGAGAATAGGCCGTGGGAGGAGGGTTGACTGAGAAACACACAAGGGAGTATTTGAAAGTCTCACTGAGGCTTCCCCCAGGGAGCCAGCACTGAGTGTGCCGGTCTAAGATCCCTGTACCTTTTAAAGCACTTAATACTTAAAGCATTAATCCCACTTAATAGTCTACATCCCCAAGGTCTGTGAGTTCCTTGAAGCTAAGGAACAAGAATGTTTTATCAATGTCCAGAAAGATACCTTACATAAATTAAACGTTCAATAGGTATCTGCTAGATGCATAGACATACAGTAATAATAGTTAAAGATACAGTGTATCACAGAGAAGCAAGTGGAGATGCCCAGAATGACCTTAGGTTTGCCCAATAAATTAAACATCTCCACCAGTTATTCTGGCAAATGTTTCACAGCAGGAGAAAGGCACCTAGTTTGTATAATAGGTTGTATAGTCATCATAGCAACTGAGTCATATGTACATGCAATGAAGAGATGATGTCTTATTTTTGAAAAAATAAAAATGGGATGAAGTAAACAGTCATTGTTTCAATCCTATAATTAAGCTATAGCAAGCCCTGAGGTTAGGGAAACCTGACCCTCAGTTCAATGTGGTGGGTAGAATGAACTTTCTCTCTGCAAATTCAGTAGGAAATGTGGGGCAAAGGCTGTGAGGCAAATGTAGAAAGTCAGTTGCCAGCCTTAAGGATGAATCTTGCTCTACTTTCACCCACGAAAAGTTCTGTATGGTCCCTAAATAGTAAATGGATGCTGTGAAAAGTGTTCTGAGATAATATTTGGATCCAAACAATTTATACATTGTTGCTTAGCCACAAAGGACAAAGGGCTGGGAAACTTTATAAGTCAAAGGCTGTTTGTTTATAGAATAAATAATTCCAAATAATAAACACAGAGTAGCAACAACAACCCAACTGAAAAGGGGGCCCAGAGTCTTACAATTACTGCCCATCTTGTGAAGACTGTTATAGTAAGAAATTACCACGCCCTCACAAGCCCTCAGGTACTCTTGTAGCCAGCCCCTAAGAAGGCGTGGCTACAGCTTCCCCTACAGACTGTCATTCAATTACAGTTACCAAGGAAGCTTTAGAAAAAAAAGATAAGTGCTTGGCCCAGTCCTCATAACCCTGAATCAACAATACTGGAATGAGTCTTGAACATCTGTGTCCGGGCTGTTCAATTCGATATTCAGGGCTGGGAATCTCTGTTATGACTATGTTAATCATTCATTTTCCCAAATGTCATAGAAGAGTCTCTCAGTAGACGATGGTCATTGAATCTGTGTGCAATATTCTCGTTACAAGAGAAACTTGGACAAAACCATCTAAGACAACATAGCTTACATACAGATTCACAATTGCTCTTGTAAAGGGGCATCTCTCTTTTTCCCTCTTTCAGTCCCTAAAATGTTTATTTGCATGATATTTTCCTTAATAATTTCAAGATAAATCCTGACTTTTCAGTCTCACTCAAAATCAAGAAGACAGGTCTTAAGAGATAATGTAGTCTACATGGATTAAATGCATTAGTGATGAACCCTGATTACCAGTAATGCATCGTGTTGCATTCAGGAAAGAAATACGGGCTCTTCCCCTTTGAGCCATTTAACCAAAGGGTTTGAATTCTCTATTTCATGCTCTCTGTGTCTTCTGTCCTCTGTCTGCCTGTTGTACAAGTCTTAATCTTCGCCTGCCTGAGCACTGTCTGCACTGTCTGGTGAATCTGTCTGTGTGTGCGTGTGTGTGTGTGTGTGTGTGTGTGTGTGTGTGTTAAGTTTTCTTTAAAAAAGATTTATTTTACTTTTAAATTATGTGTAGCTGTATGTATCTGTGTGTGTGTATGTGTCTGTCTGTTTGTCTGTCTGTCGCTCACAATAGGCTTCACTCTGCCTTTATTGAACAGCACAGAAAGTATCACATGGGAAGGAATGGGTGACTTTACAAAAGTGTTTGAGTTTTACAAGGTATTCTCACGGATTCCAACTGATCCCAACTGACTAAAAATAACAAACATTGTTTATCAACCAATATCCATAAATGGATACCTTCAACCTTTGTGGTAAATTGCAGAATTATTGCTTTCAACTACTGTATTTGCTGCTTTCAACAAATACAACATATGCATTGTTACAGGACAAGGGCAAGGAAAGCACATAATATTTTTGTTGTTGATGTATATTTGTTTTTTTGGTTTTCCAGACAGGGTTTTTCTGTGTAAACAGATGTGGCTATCCTGGAATTCACTTTGTAAACCAGGCTGGCCTTGAACTCACAGATTTCCACCTGCCTCTGCCTTCTGAGTGCTGGGACTAGAGACAAGTGACAACACACCCTCCTTTAAAAAAAAAAAAAAGCACACAATTCAACGTTACAGCTGTGCATTAGCTTAGGATGTAAAAAGTTAACTTCATGGGAAATGCAAGGAAAGTAAGGTTGGTTGCTACATTGTTCTCTTAAAAGCAGGTTAAACAAATACACTGCAGGCTAGCAGTTTCAAGTCTTAATTGACTTCAATTAACTTGTTAACTTGGGCTGTGAGAACCATCAAAAGTTCCAGTCTCTTAGCATGTAAGAGACATTTTCAGTCAATGCATCGTCACAGCAGTCAACACCCTCTGGAATGCCGCACTAAGGGAGTACAGTGTCTCTCTTTAATTTGTTGGAAATTTCATCTCTATTTCCATGCTAATAAGCACTCTATTAAAAAATGCTTCCTATTCACTTCAGTGTTCTTCTTTTTTTATGCTTTCTGGTTTTGCTATTTTGAGTAACACATTTACTCATCTATTTATTTATCTTTTCACTGAGCATATCATTACTGAGTCTGCTTAATGCTAAGAACTTTAAAGGCATCATAATTCAGTGGTGAAAAACAGACACAAACCTCCGCATTAAATAACTTACAGTTTAATAATAAGACATAAATCAAACGCTAACCAGATAATTAGGAAGATGCTCTGTGATTATCCACGAAAGATATGTTCACAGTGCTGCGAAAGTGTACAGGGGCATCTTTAGCCTCTTCTGGAGACTGGTAGAAAGCTTCTGAAGAAAGTGACATTTGAGACCTGCAGAGGAATGGAACATAAAGTGTTGGGAAATACATACATACTGGGATCTGGAAGAAAAAAAAAGGTTGGTAGAGACTACACATGTGGTGTGTGTGGTCCATTATTTGGAAAGGCCTTAACAAAGATATATAGATATAGATATAGATATAGATAGATAGATAGATAGATAGATAGATAGATAGATAGATAGAAAATCCAGGTGTGGTGGCACATATTTATAAATCCCAGCACCCTGGAGGTAGAAATGTATGGCTATCTGGGGACAGCTGGCCAGCAAGCCTAGTCTACTTAGGTGTCCCATCCCAATGAGAGGCCCTGTCTGTGAAAACAATGTAGATGGCATCCTGAGTTATAACTGCCAAAGTTTCCTCTAGCTTACACACACACACACACACACACACACACACACACACACACACACTTGTTCACCTGCATACACACACACACCTACATACAGACACCCCGCATGCATATATGTGCATAAAAACAGTGTGCTTGTATCATAGACACTTGCACATCAGTGTTTACTGCAGCACCTCTCGAAATACTGAAATTAAGGAACCAACCTGGGTGTTCATCAATAGGAACAGATAAGAAAATGTGGTCTGTAGATGCAATGGAATTTGTTTCTGCTGTAAAGAATGGAAGGTGAAGGCAACTGAAGACTGCCTTGTTGAGTTAATTAAGGCAGTCTCAGAGACACAGATTGCAAGTGTTCTCCCATTTACAGGTCCCAGACTTGATAGATACATAAAGTCACATATACACGGATGATGTCAAAGTAGAAGCAATGCTGTCCAGGGGAACAAAGAGGACTATTGAGGAAGGGGTGGAGTGAGAGGAGAGAGGGCAGTGGAATGCAGGGGGATCGCTGAGAGCATGTTATATACTTGCACTGTGGTTACCTGTGTACACCAAAATGATAAGATAGAATAGAATGTTCAGGGTTCATTGCTAACTTTCTACTTTGTCTTATTTTTTATAATGTTCAGCTATTTATCTATAGATGCAACTCTGCAGCGGCTGGAGCCACACTCTTTCTACAATTTGAGTAAAATGACTCACATGTAAGTACAAGGAAAAGTACAGAATAACGCCAAACCACAACCACCATTAAAAATATTCTTTTACAAATGTTTATTTTACTTTTTCGGTGTCTGGTTGCCAAAATATGCATGCGTAGGTCAGTAGACAACTTACAGAAGTCTGTTCTTTCCTTTCACCTCATGGGTTTTGGGGATAGAGCTCAGGTCATCAGACTGGGTAGCAAGTGCCCTTACAGGCTGAGCCATCTCACCAAACCCACAAAGAAAGTTCTTGAGAATTTGTCAGCATTAGACTCAAAGTAAAAGCACTGCTACAGAGAATGACTGGGAAAAAGAAAGATGAACCCATACAGCCATATATTCTGTACAGAAGAAAACGAACAGCAGCAGAGGGGGTAAATATATAAGTAAATATAAATAGATTTTGACTGCCCTAAACAAAACACAGTGGAATTTAAATCACAGGCAACCCACGCTCCGCATGGTAGCCTGGAGTCCTAAAAATGTGCAAACTGGAACTGGGTAAAGAAACTCCGCTATTAATCAAAAAGTTTGAGTACTTTGTGACTCAAAATTTTGTCAAACATTAAAATTTGTCATACTCTTGCAAACAGAAGGAAAGAAAAGATAGTAAATCTAATATTGCTTGAATGCACAATTTCAAGCATCAAAAATATTTAGAATTATAGTATTTTACTGGGTTGTAAAAGCTTATTAAGAAGCTTATTAAACTGTACTTGTCCATTTCTGCCTTTGTTACGAGAGTTACAAGAAGGTATCTTTCTAAAGTCTTGGCAAATTCTAGGTCCAGATGCTAACAATCAGTCCTCTTTCTTTTGATGTAATAAACTATCTCCAAGATTTCTTTAATGTGGTTTGGTTTTGGTTTTTGAGGAGATTGGTGGAGGTTGGGAGGTTTTTGATGGTTGTTAGTTTGATTTGGTTTAGTTTGGTTTGGCTTAGGATTTTGAGACCAAGTCTCATTTTGTAACCCAACCTAGCCTCAAATTTGTAGCAATCCTACTTCGCTCTCCTAAATGTTGAGATTATAGGCATAAACCACCATGCCTTGCTTTAAGGTAACACAGAGGGTTGAAATAGGGTTCCACTATGTAATCCAGGCTGACTGAGAACTATGTACTACATGATGGCCTTGAACATATGTTCCTCCTACATCAGCCTGCAAGTGCTGAGATTACAGCCACGTAGTGCTTACGTCTGCCCTCCTTCCCTTCTGTCGACAGAAGGGATGTGAGGTTGTGCTTTACAGTACCATTTGTTTAACCTCTTTTGTGATTCCCCTTACTCCTTGCAATCCCCTCCCCGACTCCTCTCTTCTCTAGGTGTCACTTGACAACCTTACTTACCTGAATGGTCCATTGCCTTTTGTTCACTGCTGTTGATGCTCGCTCACATGGGTTGTACTACTTTCATTGTAACACTCTCTGGTGCCCCTCGTTCAAGTTCACTTGTTCAAATAATTGCTTTGTATAAAGCGATTTTCTAGGCTGCAAACCATACCTGGACAATTTTCAAACTTTCCTGCTTACCATTTGTTTGTCTTTGGTAACAACTCAAACCTTCCTCCCCAAATGCTAAGTTCTGGCAAGTCTGCCACTTGTCTTAGAATAAGAGAGAGAAAACTACCTTGTCTAAGGCAGGATTGTCATTTGAAGGTAAAATAGGGTAGCCAGTGGTTTCACTCTGTCTAGGATAGAGGGAATCCCAAAGACATATGTCTTTCAGTTTTAAAACTGTGATAAATATAAAGGCTAGTAGGATCTTGGTTGGGTAGGAATCATAATTTATTACTTCTTTGTTTGTTTGCTTTTGTTTTTTGAGACAGGGTTTCTCTGTGTTAACAGTCCCAGCTGTTCTGGAACTAGATCTGTAGACCAGGTTGGCCTTGAACCCACAGAAATCCCCCTGCTTCTATCTCCCAAGTGCTAGAATTAAAAGCATGTACCACCACCACCCAGATTAATTTAATACTAGGTTAGTGGACACAGCTAAGACCTTTGGAATGTAAATGGTTAGCACTTACACTTCAAACGTTGATGGGCCTTTTTTGCAGAATATCCCAGTAGAGAGTGTTAAATTATTTGCCTGGGACAATGAATAGAATAGACCAGTAAGGTCATGTTCTTATAAACAATAAGATATACACTGTGGACAGTTTCTGTTCTCAATCTCCTTCCTCTTTCTTTCAAGGTGTGTTTCACAGTCATTATCTTTACAGCACAATTTTCAAATGTTGTTTGCAAGGACATTGCAATGCCTCTGTCCCTAAGACTGGACCTGTGAAAACAACCGTAATAAAAACATTATTTGTAGAAAGCTTTCAACCGTAGGAGACATCCAATACCTCACAAGAGCCTGTTGAAGGAGGAATGCTCTTGTCCTCCCTATTTACGGTAAGGAAACTATGACTCAAAGAGATCAAGGACCTTATCCAAAGTTATGTGGCCAGAGTGGCAGAGTCAAGATTCTACCACAAGTCTGGCTGTTCAACAGTAAGAGGAGCAAACTACAGTTCTGTGCTACAATCTACATGAACCTCATCTCACAGACATCAAGCTAAATGAAAGAAGAAAAACACAACTTGCTATATGCATCCATTTATAGGAAAAGTCCACATAAGACAGAGCTGTAGCAATATTTTAGAGCAGGGTCTAGGATGTAACTCAGTGGTCTTGCAAGTACTTAGCAGGCACAGAGCCTTGGGTTTGATCCCAGGCACTAAGAAAGGAGGGAAAGGAGGTGGGGAGAGGGGAGGAGAGGAAAGGAGATCTGGCAGAAAGGAGGAAGTTAAGATAAACTAAAAATGTCCACATGATATTGTTGTCATTGATAGTAATGTGTATTCTAAAACTGGATTGTTATGATGGCCAATTCTGTAAATTTACAAAAAAAAGTCTTGAACCACAGTGTGTGAATTCTGTGGAATAGACAAAATTATCGTTGAACAAAGACTTTCAAGAATTACAAAGATCATATTCCAAGCTTTCCAAATAATGGCATGGATGACTAGACACAATATTCTTGGTGGCCAATCCTCAGAGGCCATCCACAGAAAGAAAGGCCTCCATGGGTTCTCACTGACTTACTTCCCTTGTAAGCATAGAAGTACTGTGAACCTCTTCTAGCCAATCTATGTGTGCCAAAGTTTTAACTTTACTGTTGACAGTCCATGTTTAACAGTTGTTATGACACTTATGTTAACTATATATTCTTGATCAGTGAATGTATGAACCTAATGATATAAGTTACAAACCCATACAATATCACAACACATAGGCTGAATTCTTAAGTCATTGGCATCACAAAATAAACCCAAGCAAGCCATTTAGGCTTACTTTGTCCCTTCCAACTGAAATTGCAACTAACAAACCCTTGACCCTTTTTGCAAGGTTGTCATGTTGTCACTAACTTCCCACTCTAGTGCTCATTGTCATGGCAACATCACTGGCTCTTGTTAATAAATATAAAGATGTCTGTCCTCAGCTGCTTGTCAGACCACTGGAGGGTTTTTTCTTTTCTACCAAAATCTAAAAAGAAAGCGGAGAAGATAAGAAACAAGAACAACTAACAAACAAAGCTTTGAGACTACAGTTAAGAGAAAGGAAATCCATACATTCAGATTGACTGAGAACAAGCCCTTAAGGGCACTCAAATCCGGGGAGGAATTAGGAATCTGTGGCTAATGGTGTATAGTCCCCTGTCCCACCATATAAATCCATTCTCATCTTTTCAGGAACTTTTGTTAAACTAGATTTATCTTTAACAAAAAGGGATGCATTTTACTAACAGTGCTCTTGTAACTCTTGTAGAGAAATCCGAAACACCAGAAGCCTAACTTATATAGATCCTGATGCCCTAACAGAGCTCCCCCTACTCAAGTTCCTGTAAGTGTTGACTCATTCCTTACCACTGTGTGTGTGTGTGTGTGTGTGTGTGTGTGTGTGTGTGGTGGGGTGGATGGGGATGGGTGTGTGGGTGTGGGTGTGCTTTAGAGCTGTGATACTGTTGTCTATCAAGAACCTCCCTAAGATGATATTGTCTAACATCATTTCAATGATGTATGACACAGAGCATTTCTTGTGACTTTTCACCCTTCCCCGTTGGGCAAAGTACCAGGTGAAACAGCTCACATGATTAAAGCCTATCTCAAAAAATCAGCACACAGTTCTGGGACCAGAGACCTGCTCCAAAAGACATGAGGAAAAAAACAGTAAAATATATACATAGTCTTTAAGTGTGAATAAAACAAAACAAAATCCTGGGAGCCAACTGGTCTATTTATTTATTTTAAATAAATAAATAATTTTATATTTACTGACAAAAAGCAATATTAGAAATTTCAAATCTCTCTGGGTTTGAGACCAGCCTGGTCTACAAGAGCTAGTTCCAGGACAGCCTCCAAAGCCACAGAGAAACCCTGTCTTGAAAAAGAAATAAATTCAAGAAGCAAAACCTCAATCCAGAAGTGACACACTTCTGCTTGGCTTTGGCAATAAATGGCAATGACTTATAAACTGGTTATAAACTCCATCAGGGCAGAAGGCATTTTGGTTCTCTTTCATCCTTGCTGCCTAGCACACAATAGATACTCCAGAAAAATATCTTAAATGGGTGTGTAGATTTGACCCAAGGCCCTCAAGACACTAGCTGGAGGAAACTTCTTTCCTGTTTAAAGGCAATTTTAAAATTATAAAACAAAACAGTGTAATGAAAATAAAAATCAACCTTAATCCATGTGCCTAGAAATAACCACTAATTCATTAGTTCATTCCCATCCAGACTTCTAAAACAAAAGTGTATCTCACAGATATTTCAGGAGGTAAATCTTTAAGGATGGATAGAAGGTATTCAGGAAGTATAGGGACAGTGTCAGAAGGGGCAAGAGAGGGATAGGGTACCATGATAAAGACAGAAGCACAAAACCACATAGTGTACTTGGGAGAACTGGAAACAACCCCAGGTTGAAGGGGTAGGAGAGGGAGAGTCCAGGAGTAATGGCATATGTGACTTAAAGGTATCTTGTGGGACAAGGCAGTCAATCCTTTTATGGACTTGCTTTCAACTAAGGGGATAGTCAATCAGGTAATTAGGAGAGACATCAAAGAAGAAAAGGACTCGTTTAGTGGGTTTTGGAGAGCAGAGAGGTCATGGTTCAAAGTCTCCATTGAACTCTCTGGCCTTTTTGTCCTACTCTTTTTCATGAACCCCCAACTACCACTAAACTATTGCCTTATTTCACACACACCCATGGATTATTGCCTCTCTCCTTCTGGATTATCTCATTTATTCATCTTTGAGTTCTCTGTCTCGGGCTGCCTCTTTAATCCAATGTCATCCAATGTCTTTCTCTTTACGAGTCAAGACTGAATTGCCTTTGAACATGTACCAGGGAAACTTGAGTTGTTTTTGCCCTAAAAGAGTTGGGTAGGATCTAAATCTCCCCTTCTCTGTACCAAGCCTTTCAAAACTCACCCTGTCTCCACTAGCTATGTTGAGGCAGCTGAGAAAAGTGTCACAGGAATTAAATCCTGGAGGCATTAGGAGTCTCTAAACGTTTGTGTTCATCTTATATTTTGCACATCTCTTAATCTTGACATTATTTTTCCCTTGATGGCATGAATTTTGGAAGGAGAAGCTATTGTCTTTCAAATTTCCCTTCCTTTCTGAGAATGTTGTTTAAAAGATACTGCTGTATACTCACAGGTCACTACGGCAAAAAAGTAATTCTTAACAAAATAATAATGCAAAGGGAGCCGGGTGTTGGTGGTGCACGCCTTTAATCCCAGCACTCAGGAGGCAGAGGCAGAGGCAGGTGGATCTCTGTGAGTTCGAGGCCAGCCTGATCTGTAAAGCGAGTGCCAGGATAGGCTCCAAAGCTATACAGAGAAACCCTGTCTTGAAAAACAAAAACAAAAACAAAAAATAATAATAATAATAATGCAAAAGGATGTAAATTTGGGGATATGGAGGGAACATGGTCTCTCTGGATGAACTGTAACTCACTATGTAGACAAGGCTGGCCTCAAATTCACAGAGATCCTTCTGCCTCTACCTCAGAGGTGCTAGGATTAATGGCATGGGCCACCATGCCACAATGTAGAATTGAAAACAGGAACAGCTGCGTAGTCATGTGTTCTTCCTCTGTTGGCCTTTTATAGCCCATCCCCCAATACACTCACCCAATGTCTTCCAGTTAAAACAGGGAAATGTTTCCCTCTTTCCTTTCCTCCCTCCCTCTCCTTCTCCTCCCTCTCTTTCCTCTCCTCTCCTCTCCCTTGTACTTTTCCTCTATTTCTAGGAATCTCACTGGGCTCAAGTAACACACAGAGAATTCTAAGCAGGGCATAAGTATCACCACTATTGACTGGATTAAATTATCATGCTTTGAAGAAATATCATCCCATTCTAGGATTAACACTTGCCACAGTTGTGAGGTATTAGTGGAAGACGAGATTTACCTCATAAATTCATGATTTCAGCCATTACAGTGTACTTCCTAGGTGTTGGTTTTCTTACCTAAACTTTCATTTATTTTTTTTTATATAGAGGCATTTTCAACACTGGACTTAGAATATTCCCTGACCTGACAAAAATTTATTCCACTGATGTATTCTTTATACTGTAAGTATGCTCATCATGCATATTTGGTATATTTTGTTTGCCCCTCATAAATGAGATGCAGTCATGGGAACTGGTAAAAGCCAGGAAAAGCAATGGATTCCAAGAGAAAGCAGAAAGCAGGGTAACCATGCTGAAAAGTATGGAGTGAGGCACAAGCTAGAAATGGCCACTGAGTTCACAAACTGAGGGCCACTGGTGATTTTGACAAAAATGATTTTTGTAGGATGAGGCAGGTAGGAAACTGGGTTGGAATGGGTTTGTGCTGGCTAGTTTCATGTCAACTTGACACAAGCTAAAGTCACCCAAGAGGAGGGAACCTCAATTAAGAAAATGTCTCCATAAAATTGGCCTGTAGGCAGACCTGTGAGGCATTTTTAAAATTAGTGATTGGGGGGAGGGCCCAGACCATTGTGGGTGGTACCATCTCTAAGGTGGTGATCCCAGGTTGTATAATAAAGCAGGCTGAGCAAGCCACGAGGAGAAAGCCAGTAAGCAGCACCCCTCCACGTCCTCTGCATCAGCTCCTGCCTCCAGGTTCCTGCCCTGCTGGAGTTCTTGTCCTGACTTCCTTTGATAATGAACTGTGATGTGGAAGCATGAGCTGAATAAACCCTTTCCTCCCCAAGTGACTTTGGTCGTGGTGTTTCATGACAACAATAGTAACTCTAACTAAGACAGAGTTCAATAGAGAATTTGGGGAAAAGAATTACAGAGAGGGAAGAAAGCCAACTCTTCAGGTTTACTCTTGTTCTAGTTTCATTTATGTTGTCAAAAAACAATGGTGGTGAGGGGACCAGAGAAATGGCTCAGAGGTTAAGAGCTCAAGTCTTCTTGTTTTCTGACCTCCATGGGTGCAAGGCACACATACTGGGGAGGAAATGGTTTGTTTGGCTACAGTTCCAAGTTACTGGCCACCATTTCAGGGAAGACAAGCAGCTGATCACCTCCCACCCATAGTCAAGAGCAAAGAGACAATAAACACACCCTTGCTTCCTTGCAACTCAGTGACTTTCCTGTACTCTTATAAGATTTGGGATTCAGTCCATGAAATGGTGCCACCCACATTCAGTGAGGGTCTTCCCACCTCAATTAAGCAGGATAATCCCTAGCCCATTTCTTTTCATGTTTTACACTTGTGTGTTTAGTGTGTATGTGTCTTAATGGGAGTGTGGGATTAGAAGACAACACAAAGGAGTTGGTTCTCTCCTACAATGTAGGTTCTCAGAGTCACACCCCGACAGCAGTGCCTTTACCCACAGAACTGTCTCAAGGCTCCCCACACACACACATCTAATTTTTTTAATGGGAAAAATGATCAAATGATTTCTGAGGGGAATGGCTGAATGGGATCTGATAACAGTGATATGTTATTTTTTATATTTCCTGACAGCGTTTCGCTTTTCTGTGCATTATAGTTGCTTCACTCAAAGCATTAAGGGAGGTTTGGGGTTTTATTTCAACAGTGAAGCAGAGGACTAGAAAATCCAAATGAGTGTGTGATCTGGGGTTCACAGAGCAGACGAGGACATGCTTTTGATTGGCTGATTTTTTTCCCCAAAAGCTGGGACATAAACCAGCTGTCTTACCTAATCATGCAAATGAAAAAAGGATGTATGCAGGAGAACTAACTACAAAGGTTGGATTTGCACTAAATAGTCAGCAAAGTGTAGAATGATTAGCTGCAATCTCTCTCTCTCTCTCTCTCTCTCTCTCTCTCTCTCTCTCCCTCCCTCCCTCCCTCCCTACCTCCCAGTTTTTCTTCAAGATAGGGTTTTTCTGTGTAGCCCTGGTCATCCTAGAACTCACTCTGTAGAGCAGGCTGGCCTCTAACTCAGAGATTCACCTGCCTCTGCCTTCTAGGGACTGTGATTAAATGTGTGTGCCACCACAGCCTGGCATGCTGCAAACTCTCAATATTTTTTCCAGGAAAAAAAGATGAGCATGTTTCTTGACTACAGATAAACCCTGTTTAAACATAAGCAGTCCTCTGGGAGCACCTGCCTGGCAACATTTTGCAAATAGAGTATTCTAAAGATACTGGTGAAATGAAATCCATTGATCCCTTTCCTTTCCCCTGATCCTTGTATTGACATAGAAAATTCTAGTTGCTATGGACACGGCGTTACAGATTCAGAAGTCTCCAAACTCCATCTGCTTCAAGATAAGGAGTAAGGCAGAGACTCATCTCACCCTGGAGCTTGTTTGCTTAATGCATACTTGACTCCAAATGTGTATCCTCTTAGAACAGTTCTCATCACCTTGTGTAACCACCAGAAGCAGATCAAAGAAACAGCTGAAACAGAGATGCATTATGGCCAGTTCTCTAAAGTGTGAATATGCAACAAGAACCCATTTCCAGCATTCTTCTCTCAACTGCTTTTATCATTTTCTCTTGCAGTGAAATCACAGACAACCCTTATATGACTTTGGTCCCTGAAAATGCATTTCAGGGACTGTGTAATGAAACCTTGACCCTGTGAGTATGTCCAGTTTCACTCTTGCCAGCACCTGAATTTTATCTGAGATTATTGCCATGCTTTTCCCAGCTTTAAAAAAAAAAATGTGTCTGAGTTTTACAGAAGCATGTCACCTTATGATGTATGTTCTGGATCTGGAAAGGTTTAGTATGATTGAGTGTTGCCTTGTGGTGTGATATTCTACAGACCACAAGCAGAGTGAGATAATAAGAATTGCATATTCTCTACGACAGGACCCGGAAAGCTGTATACATTGCACTGTCTCATAGCAACTGCCACTGCCAGGCAAAAGTGGCCAAACACATACATAAGTCAGGGGGCAAGTCTGTGTCACAGTTAAGTCCCTTTATAGAAACAGAACGTGGATCAGATTTGGCCTGTAGGCTTTATGGTACATTGTCCTATATCCAAATATCCCCATTCTATACAGGAAGAAACTCCATGGAATGAATGTGACTTTCACAGAGTCACTGAATAGAGAATAGTGCCCTGGGGGCTTTTCGTATTCTGTAATTACACTTTCGCTCAGGCATCACCAACTATGACATAGCTCCTGTAACTGCTTGTTCAATAGAAAACAGTGCTTGTGTTCAGAACATGACCTGCTCTTTGGTTGTCCAAAAGTAGATGCTGAAGGATGGGGATGTAGCTCTGTTAGAATAGTGTTGGCCTGGAATGCACAAAGCCCTGGGTTCCATCACCAGTATCCTATAAACTGGGCATGGTGGCACATGCCTGAAATCCCAGCATCTGGGAAATAAAGGCAGTAGAATCTGAGGTTCAAGATTATCCTTGGCAAGTTCCAGACCCTGCTTCAAAACAGAAATAAACTGAAGTGGATGCTAAACCAAGGATAGCAATAAAACATTCTAATGGGAAAGCTCTGCTGAGAGAAAACAAGTTAATTCTTAGAAATCTCTCCTCTCATAGTGTTGGCAACAAAGTAGAGTTAGGACCATGTCTGCAGACCCCTCTCCCTGTTTTCCACACACTACCCACTCCCACAGACTCAATGCTACTGTTTTTTGGTTGGTTGGTTGGTTGGTTGGTTGGTTGGTTGGTCTTGTGTTTACCTATATGGCCACCTGAGTTCTCTACTGTGGTCACATTACAATCTGGAGTTTTTGTTGGATGCATATATGATTCATTTACTCCCTAGCCAAATTGATCCAAGTTCCTCTCAGCTTTTCGAAGGGACCCTCCTTTCCAAACCTCTAGGAAGCAGGGGTGGTAACATTTCTCACCAGCTCCTGGGAATAGAGGTTTTAAAAAAGTAGCTGCAGAAACATAGCATGTTAAAACATTCAAAGTATTACCACAGAAGGGCAACATCTATCTACCTTCTTATATTCATCTATGCACTCAATTTAATTCCACCTATAACCATTAAGCATTTGGTTTGTGAAAGCTCTGAGGACAAGTAGGGGTTTGTTTGTTTGTTTTAGAAAGAGAGATGACAAAATACACTTTAATTTAAAAATAACAATCTATGCATTCAGATGAATGTCTTCTCCAGCAGTCATCTTAAGAAACAGCTGTCACTCCTCCAGTACTGACACGAGCTTAGCTGTCATCTGAAACCCTTCCCCTTAATATGTCCACATACTTCTTTAAAAAATCCTAGGGTCTGGAGGGATGGCTGAGCAGTTAACAGTGCTTCTGGCCTGCATGGACACCTACACACACACACACACACACACACACACACACACACACTGAAAAAAGTTTTTGAAAAAGATAAACCTTAAAAAATAACTCCTTTGTAAAGCTTTGTTTACAGCTTTGCCTCAAGGCAAGGCTGGCTCACTGGCCTCTCAGTCTAGAGAATGGAGTTTCAAACTCAGAAATATCTTATATCCTAGACAAGGCATAATGTGAGGTTTTTCTTGAGGAATGTGTATGAGTGAAATTTTATGTACATTTCTGATACTAATGAGGTGAAGCCCAGCTATTTGAAAAGGAACAACACATATCTCACAGGCCATCTGCTTTATTTACTTATTTATTAGGTTCTAGGGAGCCAATGACCCAGAGCATTTCATATGGTAGGCAAGTACCCTTCCACTGAGCTACATGGCCATTGATTTTCCTCTCTCTCTCTCTTTCCCTTGATTTTAGGAAACTATACAACAATGGATTTACTTCAATTCAAGGACATGCTTTCAATGGAACAAAGCTGGATGCTGTGTAAGTTTGGGGTAACCTTGGAAACTGCCACCATTCCCCACATCTCACTTCCAAATGGGCCATCCCAAGGGTCTGAACTCTGTTGACATCTATTTTAAGTATTTCAAGCCTTGAAAGTAATGCTAAAGGAACTTGACAAGGGCCATCTGAAGTGAACACTAAATGTTGGTCCCAGTTCTAAATCCCAAAGCTCTCATTCTCAATAAAATGTATGTGTGTGTTTGTGTGTGTGTGTGTGTGTGTGTGTGTGTGTAAAAATATTCATCTGCTATTACCTGAAGTTGAAGAATGTTGTTACACCCAAAGATGTTTTGAAAAAATTACTCAATCTGTTTTGACATGCTTTTTCCTTTTTAAAAGATAAATGATACCCAAAACAAAACAACAACAAAATAAAAAAAATAGGCTTACATTTTATTTGCAATACCTTTCTTTTATTTGGGTTTTGTTTTATATTTTGGTTTTTTGTTTTGTTTTGAGGAAGGGTCTTATTATGTAACACTGGCTGTCATGGAACTAGTTATGTAGACAAGACTGACTTGAACTTATGGAGATCTGCTTGCATCTGCCACCCAAGTTCTGCGTCACTTGACATTGCAATACTTTGTTTCTTTAGCAGATATAGATAGATACAGATATTTTTTTTCTTGAGACAGGGTTTCTCTGTGTAACCACCATGGCTATGGTGGAATTCATTCATGTAGACCAGACTGGCCTGGAACTCACTGAGATCCACTTGTCTCTGCCTCCCAAGAGCTAGAATTAAAGTTGTGTACAACTGCCACAGGGTGTAGTTATATATTTTTCCATTTGTTTTCTTTTTTATTTGAGACCGGGTTTCTTTGTATAGCCTGGCTATCATGGAAGTAGCTCAGACCAGACTGGCATTGAACTCACAGAGATTCACCTTCCACTGACTCCTGAGTGCTGGGGTTAAAGGCTTGAACCATTAATACTTGGTTATATTTTTTTAAATTCCAAATTATCTAGCATTTCCTCCTGGAACTTAACTGCTCATTTCTTGCAATGATGTGTTACTGTGATTCTATACTCCCCATCCTTAAAACATTCCTACACAGTTAGCTGATCGTTGGAAAATCTGAAGGCCTTATGAGCCAAATGTGGTGTGTACTACGTTGCCTCTCACATATTATTAGACATGCAAACCGTCTATTCTGATTCAATAGATTTGGGCTGGGCTGTGGGATTGTGTATTTCTAACATACTCTCTCACAATACTGGTGCTGTAGCCCACGGACAACATTTTAGGTAAACTAGCTGCACAACTCTGCCTAGAGGGCCTGAGTGGAAAAGAGCACACATGGCGATTAAATGGTTTGGTTATGATTTTTGCAGGTTAGACACTCATTGTGATGATTCCAATTTTAAAAGATAAATGGTAACAAGTTCTGGATTTCTTTCAGTCAGGCAAGATTCTCTACATACTGTTGGGTGTAGTTTATTGGTTAATGAAAACTTGTTTTTTCCTGCATGTAAGCACTCCAGGTAAAAGATGCCGTGTAAATCCAATTGATGGGCATTATCAAGGGCCTCTGCTCCTTAAATAAGGAAAACTAAGTCAAATTTTCATGTTAATGTGTGTGTGTGTGTGTGTGTGTGTGTGTGTGTGTGTGTGTGTGTGTGTGTGTGTCTCTGTGTGTGTCACTGCATGCATCTGGCAGTCTGAGGATAATGTTTGAGAATTAGTTCCTGCCTTCCACCTTGTTGAGGCAGGATCTCTCTTACTGTCATTTTCCCAGCACATCGTACCCCAGCTAGCTGGTCCACAAGCTTCCAGTGGTTCTCCTGTCTCTACCCCTAACCCCACCATAGAAATGCTGGGATTAAAGATATGTGTCACCTTTACTCCAGGCCTTTATTTGGGTTCCAGAAATCAAACTCAGGTAGTCAAGCTTGTCTAGAAAGTGCTCTTAGCCTAAGCCATTCCTCTAGACCCTCACACCATACTTTCAACATAGTTCAACCTTTACTGTGTTTTCAAACTAAGGAAAACATTAATCTTCTATAGCAATTATCCTAGCAGGGTTCAAAGATTGAAATAGCATGATCTCTCTAGAACTGTGTTTACATATCTCCTGGTTGTAGTTTAAATAATTTGTTATCCAAAAGAGCAATCATCTGCTTCTTGGCCAATGTACTGAAATTGTCAGGTCTGACCTCAATTACACCCATTGTTTTAGTGTAACTGAGTAATGTTATTACAGCCAAGTTGGACCAGTCCCACACTTAGGACAAGCACTGAAGCCAAGCAGCAGTTCTGTTGTTAGCTACAAGTTTATGAAAATCATGGCAAGTGGGTGAAAGCTCATCACTCTGTGGTTTCACTGAGAGCCAAGCACATTGTCATCACTCAGATGACAGATCATTGAATATGAGTGTCCTTGCTCAAGAGAAGTTGAAGTGTTTTCAATCATAAGCTAAGTCCCGTGTTCTTTCTCTGGACCTGTCTGTTCTCTCTTTATCTAGTCTTCTAGAACTGAGTGGCATCCACACAGTGTCTGATTCTCTGAGATGAACTCTCTATTGTTGGATCCTAATTATTCAGTTTCTATCTAGCGGTAAACATTCATACCAAAAACAAATACAACTTGGATGTGTTAAGGACTTAACCAGAGAGTAATCATTACGAGCAGAAAAGTCAACACAAACAATGTACTAATTTAGCATCACACATGAGCTGATTAGAAGTAATTCACCAGAGCTTGGAGCCGCTGGGAAAAAAATGACGAAGGTAGAGAAGATTATAGGATTAAGGAGGCTGCTATTTCTCACGGGGTAAGTATTTGAACAGCTTGGAGGATATGCTCCGGGATTGGCTGTCCCTTTGCCTCCTACAGTCTTGAACACTTTCACACCTGTTACTACTGTCGATAAACAAGTGTCTCAATCTCTGCAACCAACAAGATTTCCACAGAGCAATCCAGCTTCAATTTAGACTAATGTAAGAGCTAGGTGGTGGGTCCTATCATTTTTTGAATAAGAAGAGTTGTGTGGGGAAAAAAAAAAAAAAAAAAACAGTTCCCCACAGAAGCAATCCCATGTGAATGGCACAACATAACCAGGCACCAATTATACAGGAATGAGCTGAAATCCAATCTTGGAACTGAAATGGATCCTTCAACAACTCAGAGAACAAAGTCCAGGAGCAACAGCAAATTTACTCAGTACATCATACTCCTCTATTTGACACTGACCACTTCTGTTGCTGAATATAACCTGTCCTATCTGTGAGTTATCCAGAAACAGGGCCTTCATTTCTTGTCAAACAAGTTTTTGCTGAATGGCTGCTGTGTGTCAAGAATGAATCCAGGGCCTGGAAAGATGACTCACCAACTGCTCTTAACCCAGGTTCAATTCCCAGCATTTACATAAAATCTCACTACTGTCTGTAATGCCAGATCCAGGGGGATCTGAACCCCTCTTTTGACCTCTCAGGCACAACATACACATGGTAGGTACACAGACACAAATGCAGGAAAAAAACATTCAATCATATAAAATAGAAATAAGTCTCAAAAAAGAAATTTTAAAAAGTGACTTCAAGCCAGATGATGGTAGTGCACACTTTTAATCCCAGCAGAGGCAGGCGTGTCTCTGGAAATTTGAAGCCAGCCTGGTCTACGTCGTGAGTTCCAGGACAGCCAGAGCTACAGAGAAACCTTGTCTTGAAAACACAAAAATAAAAACAAAAACAAAAACAAAAACAGTGAGTCCAAGAAACTGAACACACACATCCATACCCCACAATACCGAGGTTGTCATTTAGATACTTATCCTCAGCTCATTGCTATCTTCATTTTCCTGACCTCACTGTTGAGAGTAGATTCTCAAGTATTGAAATATGGAAAATTTGACAACTCTTTTCTAGGAAAAGCTTGATTTCTTCACCAGGTTCAAAGAGGCAGAATCTGTGCAAACAATGAGGCATCATTACCCAGGCAGAGTCTGCAGCATCTGTTTTAATTTGGAGGGAACTACTAAGACTTTTCTAGAAGCCCTTCCCAGTATCATATTAGCAATTCTCACTTTAGGGACATCTCTCCTTTTGGCCCTTCTGACAAGTTCTCCTAAACTTTTGAACCTTCTTCTAATGCATCTTCTATTATCAATCCGAGCACAAAATAGTCATTGTCTGAAATAGGTTCCCATCTGGCTTACCAAGTCAGTGTATACAGCACAGACTTGAGATAATCTGTGATCAAGGAACCAGTTTGAGGGGATTGACAGTCCCAGACAATGGCATATGGTTAATTGGAAGTACTTCCTTACTGGATGGTAAAGTTTCTAGATCTGTGATTCCTCACCCTTAGCTTCTGGTGGGATTTGGAAGGAGAAATCAGAACCCAGGACTCAAAGCTAAAAGAGGCAGACCTGAAAACGACCAGAAACTCTCAAGTAAGGGGCTCACTAGCCCAAGGTCAGCCTGGGCTTTATAGGGAGACCCTGTCTCAAAGTACCGACAGACTCCACCAGGAAGAGTGGCATGCTTATTTTTAAGTACCTTATCATCGTCAGAGGTTAAGTAGCCAAACAGCCATGTTGTCTTTTGAGAATGGGGCCTCTGTCAGGCTAGTTCATCTCCGTTCACATTGGCTGCACCGCTTACTGCATTCTTTCTCCCATTCTGGACTCTGGCTGCCTTCCCCAGTTTGAAGCCATCTGCAACATTTCTGGTAAAGTGCACTGCTTATCGACCAGTCTCTTTGTCCTCAGGGGTGTATTAAGTATCAGATGAAAACACTACAGAATTGGACAAGTGATAATTTAGTTCTATGATGATGTCTGATGATTAGAGCAAGCCCATTTTTGCTCTCAGTCACTGGAAATGAAGAGGAGTAAAGAAAGGAGCTCAGTGGAGCTTACTTGATTTGGAGCAGCCTGGGAACAACATGTGACCTATAGCTAGCTCCACTGGCCCGAGAATACGGAAAGTGTTACAAGCAGGTATGACCACTAAGCTCATCACAGTTGTTATGACGTGGTCATCAAGAGCTTCTCAAAAGCTGTTGTTTTCCCAAGGTGGATCTTACCCACTTCAGCTACTACCAAACAAAAGATCTTCATAAACATAATGGGTTTATGACAGGATCAATCTGTGAACATGAGAGTGCTGTGACCCAAGCTTTATATGGCATTGACCCATTGGGAACATGTACCAATGCTTTGGCATCTTACTCAAGTAAGATATAGAAGACTTGTCTTTTCTATGTGAGACTTCATAACACCCTCTGCTATAGACGGTATCTGGAATGTTCCCCCACCCCCACCCCTGGCCTATGACTTAAAGTCTTGTTGTTCTCAGTTTGGTGTTCATAGGAAAGAGTAGAACTTTTTTTTTTTTTTTTTTTTTGGTTTTTCGAGACCAGGTTTCTCTGTGGCTTTGGAGGCTGTCCTAGAACTAGCTCTTGTAGTAGACCAGGCTGGTCTTGACCTCACAGAGTTCCCCCTGCCTCTGCCTCCTGAGTGCTGGGACTAAAGGTGTGTGCCACCACTGCCCGGCTAACAGTAGAATTTTTAAGAAGATTAGTGGAAGGAAGTTGGGTTACTGAGGACATTCTTTTGGATGGGATATGATACCAGGCCCTTCCTTTTCCTTTGTTATTGACTTCTCAGCCCCTGTAACAAAAGCAGCCTCTTCTGTCTGGTGCTCCTGCCATGGTGAACCATGGTACCACAGACTCAAAACTAATGGAATCAACTCATCTCCATGACCATGAACGGAAGTGATCCATTTCTCTTTTAACGCGGATTGTATCCATCCTTTTGTTATAGCAGAGAGCTATCTAACACAGTCTGGAGGCTCTGTGCTCAGCCACCACTTACAGAGGCCATTTGTAAACAAGCTGCTCAGCATTCACTGCCATCAGGAAGGTCCACTTCCCCAAAGCCACCATAGCATGGGCCAAGTCTTCTTTTATCTTTCATTATTTTTTTTCTTTAAACAGTCACATGTGTCACCCTCAAAGTTTCAAAGTATCAATGTCACTATCTTGAAGGAAAGATTACTTATTTCTTTGCTCATTCACAATTCCCACCCAGTAAGTATTCATGGAGCACTGAACTTAGCAGTGGGTTACAGCGATGAATAAGGCACAGAACTTCCATTCTGGTTGAAAAGACATATTGCCCAATAAGCAGAAAACTAGGCTGGGAGGTGGTGGCACATGCCTTTAACTCGAGCACCCAAGAGGCAGAAGCAGGTGGATCTCTGTAAGTTTGAGGCCACCCTGGTCTACAGAGTGAGTTCCAGGCCAGCCAGGGCTACACAGAGAAACCCTGTCTTTGAGAAAAAAACTCTGTGTGTGTGTGTGTGTGTGTGTGTGTGTGTGTGTGTGTGTGTGTGTGTGTGTGCTTGTTTGTTTACTCCCTTAGCATGTCCAGAACAAGGATGATAAAACTCTTGGGCACTTGTGGTCAGTTGTTCTATCCTTATCCACACCGCTCCAGTAAAGATACACTTGGATCCAATTAACTAGAGGGGCCTTTCTTCTTTTTTTTTTTAATTTTTTTATTCGTTTTTATTTAAATTAGAAGCAAGCCTGCATCACATGTCAATCCCAGCTCCCTCTCCCTTCCCTCCTCCCCCTCCCCCCATCAACTCCCCACCCCATACCCTCTCTGCTACCCAGGGAGGGTGAGACCCTCCATGGTGGATGGCCAAAGTCTGTCATATCAACTGGGGCAGGACCTAGGTCCTCCCCCATGTGTCCAGGCTGAGCAAACATCCCTCCACATGGACTGGGCTCCCAAAGTCCATTCATACACCAGGGATAAATACTGGTCTACTACCAGAGGTCTCATAGATTGCTGAGGCCTCCTCACTGACACCCACTTTCAGAGGGGTCTGGATCAGTCCCATGCTGCCCTCCCAACCATCAGTCTGGGGTCCATGAGCTCCCCCTTGTTCAGGTCAGCTGTTTCTGTGGGTTTCCCCTGTTTTGTCTTGTCCCCCTTGCTTATCACTCCTCTCTCTTTGCAACTGGATTCCAGGAGTTCAGTTCAGTGTTTAGCTGTGGGTGTCTGCTTCTGCTTCCATCAGCCACTGGATGAAGGCTCTAGGGTGGCATATAGGGTAGTCATCAATCTCATTGTCGGGGAAGGGCATTTAAGGAAGGAGGGGCCTTTCTGGAAGGAATTCTCATGGAAAGTCTACATCACTCTACTATTATTAGCCATCATCCTTAGGCACTTGCCATCCTGTAGATCAAAACTCACTGATCCAGTTCACGAAGCACTATCTATAATTAAGCAGACCTCCCAACCATCCGAACAGTATTTATTTTGCATCAAGCCATGGTCACTCACTAATAGCATGGGCCAATTGCCTACACTATGCTTCGAGTTCATATAAATGTGTAAATTGGGGTCATTTATGACAATAAAATGGAATACTTAATTTCATTTTTAGATAATTTTACTCTCTAAAAAAGCTATGGGGGTGGGAGAGAAGGCCCAATTTTCAAAACCTTGGGTACTTTTGTTCATTTGGGGAAATTTTTATTTCAAAAGTACTTTGTAACTTACATTGCCTAAGAAATATTATCCTTTCAAATGGCTGATGTGTTATAAAAAGGGGAAGATCAATATAACCATCCCTTTTCACAAAAGGTACATGCTATAATCTTACTTACCCAAACATCCCTACACCAAACCTGGTGTTGTTGGGTAAAATGTATGCCATTCAATTAAATTTAAATTTCAGATAAGCAAAAGATAAATTTGCATGTGAAATATTTACACTTGAAAATTATTCAGTGCTTATGTGTAATTTGAATTAAACTGACATCACTTATTTTAATTTGCTAAATCTGGCAACTCCACTCAAAGACAAGAACTGAGCTTTGGCCATCTCTACCAACCCCCACCACCCTTGCTATCTCCATCCCACCTCTTAGTTAAGTTCTAGCTTCAAAGATATATGGGAATAATGGCCAATTTTGAAAAGCAAAATTTGAGTCAAAGTAGAAAAAAAGATTGCCAGGAAGTAGGAAATTTGGGTAACTTTGATAAAATGTAGATATGCAAATTATACCCTAAACATCAATTAATTTTCAAAGATTCCTGCCACAATGAAACTTTGCATTTCTGACACACAGAACGGTGCTTAAATCAGAAGAATGCAAAGTGTCTTTGAAATTAATGTGACCTTGGTTAAATTTCATTTTGGTATTTATTCTAATGTTATATGATGACTTGTTTGTCAAACTTATATTCTCTCTCTCTCTCTCTCTCTCTCTCTCTCTCTCTCTCTCTCTGTCTCTCTCTCTCTCTCTAGATACCTAAACAAGAATAAATTCCTGACAGCTATTGACAAAGATGCCTTTGGAGGAGTATACAGTGGACCAACCTTGCTGTGAGTAAAACAAATGAATGGCTAGCAGTTTTTTATCATTTTTCTCTTTTACTTTTCTGGAATGAAAGAGGTATGAAAAGAGGAGATACCAACTGTCTTAGTTAGGAAGAGACGCCATGCTGTGAAGAGACGCCATGACCACAACAACTACTATAAAGGAAAACATTTTATTGGAAGCTGGCTTAAAGTTCAGAGGTTTAGTCGCTTATCATCAAGGGAAGCATGGTGGAATACAGGTAGACATGGTGTTAAAGAGCTCTATATCTGGATCTGAAGGCAGCAGGGAGAGGGGGAAGGAGGGGGGAGGGAGAGAGGAATAAGAGAAACTAGGCCTGGCTTGAGCATCTGAAACCCTCAAAACCCAATCTCCAGTGACAAGACCTCTGACAAAGTCATATCTCCTAATAGTGCCACTCCCTGTGAGCCTATAGGTGTAGTTGCTTTTGGTTTTTTGTTTGTTTTAAATCTTTGCTCTTTGCGGACCTGCCACCCAGCTCCCAAATAAATACATGGAAACTTAAAAGCTTGGCTTGTTTCTTGTCAGCTTTTTCTAACTTAAATTATCCCATTTCTCTTTAACTACATTTTGCCTCAAGGCTTTTTACCTGTCTTGATTCTATATGTCTTTCTTCCCTTCTTACTCCATGGCTAGCTGTGTGACTGAGTGACTGGCACCTGGCATCCTCCCCTCCTTCTCCTTCTCCTTCTCCTTCTCCTTCTCCTTCTCCTTCTCCTTCTCCTTCTCCTTCTCCTTCTCCTTCTCCTTCTCCTTTTCTCATTCCTCACTCTTCCTCTCTTGAGCCTAGATTTCTCCTCCTATTTATTCTTTCTGTCTGCCAGGTCCCCCTACCCCTCTCTATCCCTCTCTAGCTATTGGCTGCTCAGCTCTTTATTAGAGCAATCAGGTGTTTTAGACAGGCAAAGTAACACAGCTTTACAGAGTTAAACAAATTCGACATAAAAGAATGCACATCTTTGCCTCATTAAGCAAATATTCCACAGCATAAACAAATGTAACATATCTTAAACTAATATTCTACAACATAGAGGGGCTATTTTCATTCAGACCACCACACCAACTTTCAAGACAAGAGAAAGCTGTTATCTTAGGTTATAGCTTCTGCCACTAAAGATCCACAAAGCAATTCATTAGAAGCAAGAGGAAACTATTTATTTATAAAAATAGAAAAAAATAATAAATTGTCTTAACCCGTATACAGATGACCACGAAAACTGGTAGACAATAGTCGTATCCCAAGAGGAAAGTGGATGGTTGGCAGTCCTGAGCACCTGATACCTCCACTCTTTCACCTTCAACAATTTTATTTCACCTTGGGAGTAAATGCACCCAGTTAAGCAGGTTGGTGGCCCACTTTTCTTAAAATCTGCTGAACCCCATGAGAGTTTCTCCTAACTCATAGTGAAGTATAGACAGAAGAACATGCAAGAGGTCTTAGAAACTAGACCCGAGATAGGGATTAGAGAGAAATCTGATGTTCAAGTTATAAAGTTTCCAGTGTTTTCATTTTCTTCCCAGACAACGGGGACACTGGAGAGATTTCTCTGGAGTTAGGAGTGCTTGCTGCACCAACATGGGAACCAGAGTTCAGACCATATCCTGGGATAAATACTAAAGCAATGGCACAGTAATTACCAAGAGGTCTGCTCCATGATTTGATGGGAAGGTTTTTATTGCAGGTATGAGAGGAGAGGATGTCCAAAAGCATCTACAAGAGTCCAGAACAGAGAGGAAAAGAAGCAAACTGGACAGGGCCAAGGCTACCTGTGAGAGAAGTGAGAATAGCAGAGAAGAGAGAGAGAGAGAGAGAGAGAGAGAGAGAGAGAGAGAGAGAGAATGGGGAGAGAAGGGAAACCTTATTTTAAAAAGAGCAGGAAGTGAGCTATAATCTAGAAGAGATAGCTTAGTGGAAAAGGAGAGGGGGAGGTGAGAAGGGCCAGGAGGACAGCAGGGGCTTTAAGATGCATAACAAGTATAAGTGAATAGAGACTGGAGGAGTCTGGACATTAGCATTGGCTTCCGTATGTGTCAATGGGGAGCAAGATGCGTCATCTGCCAGAGGAAGGAGGCATAGGGAAGTGGCTCTTCCTGGCAGACAGAAACCCATTTCACAGGTTCCTGAGGAAAGCTGAGAGTATCCACCAGCAATCCTGTAGACCAGTGTGGGCTGCGTCAAGACTGCCATTTCTAGACATATGCACTGCCCTTTGGATTTTGAAACCTAACAATAACCAGCCAGGAGTGATTTCATGCAGGCCTGTAAACCAGCACTGAGGGAGGTAAGAACAAGAGGGTCACTGTACCTTACCAGTTTTCAGTCTAGATGAAAACAAACAAACAAACAAAACCTGTGAGCTCTAGATTCTGGGAGAGACCCTGCCTCAAAGGAACAAGGCAGAGAATAAAAGAGGAAGACACCTGAAGCCATCCTTTAGTCTCTTGTAATACAGAGCTACATGCACCCATATATATCACACATAGATAAACATGCATACACCCACATAAACTGTACTTACACAAATGTATACCCACACAAATACTTACACAAAACAAAAAATAAATTAATGGTGGAGAGATGACTCAGCAGTTAAGAGCACTTGTTGCTAGGACCTACTTTCAATTCCCAAGCGCCCATCTGGTGGCTCAAGGCAAATTATAACTCCACTTCCAGGGGGTCTGATGCTCTCTTCTAACTTCTGAGGGTACCAAGCACACACATGGTGCACATACATGCATGCAGGCAAAACACCCATACACATAAAACAAAATAAATATTTTTTTAAAAAAATTTAAAGAAATAGTACTGAATGAAAAAATGGAATAAAAGGAAGAGAAGTATCATGAAATAATCTTTTTGTATGCTGTGAAGATTTATCACTCTGATTGGTTTACTAAAAAGCTGAACAGCCAAGAGCTAGGCAGGATTTGGGGAGCAGAGAGGCTGCTGGGAAGAAGGGCGGAGACATGTAGTGTCTCCAGCCAAATGGAAAGGAAACATGGGCAGCACAGAGTTAAGGTCATAAAGCCAGGAGACAAAAAGTAGATTGATAGACTCGGGTTAATTTAAGTTAGAAGAGCTAGTTAGAAATTTTCATAATTAATAAGTTTCTGTGTTGTGATTTGGGAACTGGCAGGTGGGACAGAGAAAGATTAGCTACAAAGTATGGAAAAGATTGTTATTGTAGATATAAGGAAGAGGGAAGAGTCCAGGCTGAACACGGTCAGCAGACTAAACCAGACTAAGAGAGGAGAGACGGGGAGGAATAGCAAGAGAGGAGCCACCAACCAAGAGAGGTGGCCTGGGCCAAGACAGCAGAGTAGCCAAAGTGGCTGAGTTATTTAGGTCTCAGGCTGAAGTTAGGAAGTAGAAGCCCATCCTTGGGAAGGAGAGATTTCAGGTACGGGGCAGAGTGTGAGGAGTGCTGGAGGAGCCAAAGGTACTGAGTGAGACTTGTCTTGAGTTTGAGATCTAACAAATGCCATACAATATAGTAATAAAAATTTTAATTGAATCAAATAAAATGTAAGAAGAAAGTTAATGAAGCATCAGCACTCGAAGGTTTGGTAAGAGCGAAACCAAGAAATGAACACTATCATTCTCAAATGCCAAGCACAGAGGTTCTCTTACAATTGTGAGCACATGATCTGGGACATCTCTTTAAACCTGCATCAAAACCTTCACTTTCTTTCCCACAGGCTTCCCCTAACTAGATTGGAAGGTCCTTTTCCCACAGGGAAAGACTGTGCTTCACAGTTTTGTAATGCCCTCACCAAAACAGAAATTAGCAAACAGTCAATGACTATCAGATACATTGGAGTCAAATAGCCGAGGTGGTGGTGGCCCCCATTTGGTGTAAACTTGAAAAAATCCAAAGTGCCATCTAAAGAAAAGGGAATTGTGTGTTTTGTATATTTCTGCCTCATGAAGTATCTTGGTAAAAGAGTAGCCATCCCCACAGTCAACAAAAATCATTAAACTTGCCTGTACACTGCCTTTTTTTCCAAGGTCATTTCTCCAAGAAGAATCTGATTTTTATCAGGCACAAATCTGAATACCATCTACCTGCAGTCCTTGCTGTTTTCTTTTTCTAAGAAAGCCTTTTAATTTAGCTTGGGAATTTAATCACATTTTTATTGACTGATTTTTGTCACAGAGACAGTCAATCTCCCTTTCCATTTTTATACTTTCTATTTTTTGAATGTCTTGCTTCCTTCCCACTTTGTTTTGAAAGAGAAGCTCTTTGTGTTTATAATAGCAAAGAAAACAACACGGTGAAATGCAACTCTTTTTCCATAGCCATCAGGGCTCTCCAGATTTGAAATTATGTAACTCGTCTTACCAGCGAGTGTTCAGCACGCTCATGATAATTACCATCATAGTCCCAACTGTTATTATAAGTACTTCTAAAGAAGAGACAATCTTTGTGTTGATATCCTTGAGTTCGTATTACATTGATCAACAAAAATAAGCATTTGTTGCTGTCGGCTGTTTTCAAGTTAGTCAATTGAAAAACCCCAGGCATGGCACTGCTAACTTTCTTGGTTTACATAGAGTAAGCTTTTGTTTTCTTTGGCTCCTTATGACCATCTAAAGGTTACAGTCTCAGCAGAAATTTTGTGGTAAAGTTCTTTCTAGAATGCCTGAAACCCTCAGGTGTGTCAAGTGCACAATTTCCTAGGGAGATCCTTCTTTGCAAAATTCTTTATTGAGGTATAATTACATGCAACAACAAACTTTTTAATTGTGCAGTTTAATTACTCTACCCTGGTTAAGCCTGGGAATATTTTCATCTCCTAGGGCTTTCTCTATTATAAATAGCCATGGATCTTTTGAATTTTCTAGCATAAAAATCTAGGAGCAAAATTGCCAGGCCACAGGGTAGATGTAGGTTTAACTTTATTGGATATACTGCCAAACTTCTTTCTAAAATGGTTGTCTAATTTTTTAAAAAAGATTTATTTATTTTTATGTGCATTGGTG